CACTGGAGTCTCTTGAGTGTATAATTCATGTTCCCCACACTATTTCCAAGTGTGATAGATCCCTCTGATTTCAACTGGGAAAATTAGTGTTCTTGAACCGGGCATTAAAACAGTTTCATTGTTTGTGCCAAGTGCCACCTGTGGTCACACACTTGTTTTTCCCACACCTTCTCCAGCACCTCTCTGTGGATCTGTCTTTGGCTTCTACCCCTTCATAGTTCAAGATGGTTTGGAGCCGTAAGGCAGCATATGTTCAGTCAATACTATAGGCTACATTCACGGATTTATTTTTAATTTTCACTCCTTTCTTGATTTAAGCAATTACTCTGGGAAGAAGTTATTATCTAATTTTAAACTGTGCCATTTAACCTCTCAGCCACTATAGCAAGTATTTATTTAAAACAATTAGAGAAGCTGCAGAGCAGCATAATTTTCACGTGTAGCCCGTTGAACCTGAACCCTTATTCCTAGGTTTTCATATGTGCATGCTGAGAATTTTAGATGATTTCCTGCTTCTTAATTTGGAAAGATAGAGGTTTGTTTGTTTGTTTCCCCCCCCACCCCCAGTCATATTTCACAGTAGTTAGTGTTAAAGAAATAACTGTCAGCTTAAATGCCAGGGATGGGCTATGTGGTTTGAATTTCAGGTCCATACCTTACTAGTTTTGTGATATTTGCAAAGTTCCCTGGTCTCCCTGTGCCTCCCCTCTAATAAGACAAAAGTTATAAACATATCATGAAGCTACCCATGACAAAGGCCTGGTTCACTAGTCCATGAGCCCCCTGAGGTCAAGTCCTTACCCTGTTTACTTCTGTCTCCCCGGCACCTGGAACAACACATGCCTGAAAGTAGGCGATTAACATTTGTTAAAGCCTTATCAAGATAACACATGTAATGCATTTAACACAGTGCCTGGAGCAGAGTAATAATTACAATAAGTTTTCTGGGTTTTTCTCCTATTAGCATTATTAAAGCTTTTAAATGTAATCACACTTAAAAGATGACATTTTATTTCATAAATGACTTTTATAGCCGAAGTATTAATCCACCATTCAGCTATTCTATATTGACCTAAGATCATATTTCTTAAAATGGAATAAATTTGGCCTTTCTTCACCAAGTCTGCCAGCATAATTTCTGGGTTGACATAAAAGAATGAAAATTAATTCCTGTTCCCTAAAGTTGTGGGTATCTCTGTGTATTTCACAATCAAGTTGAGGTGTAAGATGACTTGTATCCTTTTAATTTTCCCAACAAGGAATGTTTGAAACTTTCTTTTCTGCAGTTTGCTCAGATCCTAAGAGGCAGCATTTCTAAAGTGAATTGGCTTATTTTCACTGTGTCACTTTAAACACTTTGCTCAACTGTACTCCATAATAGTTTTAAAAAGGAATGTATTATTTTTTTACCTTTCATTTTCCGTATGGATTTAGTAGGGTTTTTATAAGTGCAGTTGAATTTTAGAGCAAAAGAAATGTCAGAAACCATTTCGTTTTTCTCATTGCTGCATCACTTTCCTTACATCTGAGGAAAATGAATAAAAAAAGAAGCGGAGCAGTTTTAGCTAGTTAGTTGCAAAGGTAAGATGTGAAGCAGATTTCCTGACCTTTAACTGGTTTACTTTTCCTCCCTTATTTAAAAAACAAAAACTACCAACCTGAATCTAACTATATAAAAAGATGTTTCAGTGTTTTTTTTTCTCATTCAAGTCTTTGAAGAAATTATAGTGCTGAACTTTTAGCTAAATCATTAAGACAATGTGTATATAACCTGTTGTGATAAAATGTGATATTACATTAATTTAGCCACATTTCCCATAATAACAGCATGTTAGAAATTTTCTGTTAAACACATTGTTTAACTTTTGAAAATGGATCTTCATTTTGTTTAGGATGGATTTTATTGTTAATAGAGTAGATACCATGTACAACTTTTCTCAAATAGCTAGAATAACTGAAGTAATGCAATGATAACATTTCTTATATTTGAACAACTGTCTTAATACACTTAATATAGATAAAACTCAGAGAGCATTTTCAGTTGTTAGCAATTTTCCCCTAATGTCACCCTTTCTCTGTTTTTGATAATGTTACCCATTTCTTACTTTTATTCATGTCAGTAGGTTAAGATACATAAGTATCTGCTATGGTAAACTATCTCCCCATTCTACAACCATAAATTCTCAAAAGATAAGTGAAATTATGCATCCTGCAGTCTTCAAGCTCCTCACTACCTAGTAATTTGCATGATGGTTTTAATGTCTAATCAGATCACTCCACAGCTCTCCCTTCCCTCCTACAGCTGTTGAAAGAAGTCACAACATTCTTGAGGCTACAGTAATAATAGACACAGCTGGCGTGGATTTTTTAATAAAGGTTTTTAGGAGATAATTACATATTCATTAATCTTGAAATGTAGGAAACATGTCACAGCATTTAAATGTATTCCAGATTTTCCTGAGCATTTATAAACTTTTTGGTATCTCTGCTAGGTAGAGGGAGGCAAGGATGAATCAGTTGAGGTGATGGGGCTCAAGCTCTCTTTCACTGTCAGTCAGTAGGTGAGCCCTTGTCCTGAGTAGAGATATACTTGGGGGAACATGTAAGAGGGAGGTAGTGGAACCCCCCTCTTAGACCTGTGTTCAGCAGTTTATCATGAATTTATCCAATTAATAATTGTAGTGGAGAATTCAAACTTTCTTCTTACATCATGACCGATTTTGGAAATGTGATCAAAGAGGTGAGTAGCATACTTAGATTTCCGTTTCAATATATATTCAAGATATGTATAATTTCAATGTTAAAATAAACCCTGTATATTTAGTTATATATAATGAAGTTTGTTGTTTATACTGTGAAGAAGAATCAGTCTGAGTTGAAAGTAGCAGTGTTTACCCAGGATGTAACTCCTTATAATGATCTCCAGCAGCTCACTAAAAATGGCTTTCAGGTAGATGAAATTTTTTTATATTTTAAGTTTAGTAGAATTCCGGATCATTCTTCTTCTCTGCTTTCTTCACGTGCAGGTCGTCAGTGTGTGTTTGCAGTTAAGGTGTTATGCTGGGTCTAATCTCTGTAAAATGCTAGCATTTGTTCTTCTTTTTCCCTATCATCAATCTTTCACACTCATATCAAACCCCTAATGGATCAGCAGGTTTCCCAGAGCTCCTGGTTAAAATTACCTTTGCTTTTGGTAAACTCTGAACCTTCCAGCCTCAGTGTTTTCACTTGCCCCCTGTGGATTCCGTGAAGCCTCTCTGCACATTCCTCACTGCCAGTCATTTGCTTTATGTCCTGAAATCAGGGGCCTGTGCACAGCCCGCTTATTATTCCTGCTATATCTACCATCATTCCTGGAATGGAGAAAGTGTGTAAATATTTCCAGTAATCGGTGTCGCTTATGCAAACTACCGGTGAAAGTGGTTGGAACTCCCAAAGCTAGAGAGCTTTTGTTTCCTTTACCCAATAACAGTATAAATGCTTTAAATGTAGCTATTTCTAAAAGTTTCTGGGATTTTCTGCCCATTTCCTGATAGAAATTGGAAAATTTACTAGTTTGTATCAAAATAAATGCTGTAATTAGATAATTTATTTCAATTTTATTAATTTCATATTTGAATAATTTTAAATGTATCCTTCTCTTCACATATACTCATTTTTCACTTTTCTTTTTGGCTTTCATAATACTTGTCTTTAATCCATTCTGACAAGGGCTAACCATTATTAGTAAAAATGGATTCCAGTCTAGATAGGATTTTTGTGAATAATCGGTTTACAATGTCTTCACATTTTGCATAGCTCTGTACAGTTTGTATATACAGCTGTTAGGTTATAACTTTATTCCTGTGGAAAACGGCCTTTGAGATAATACTATGATTGTTGGCGTGACTCTTTCTGTTGCCTCTGACTAAGTGCCCCTGTATACTATGTGTTACATTAACGTTTACCGTAAAGTCCTGGGAAGTCTTTGAACATTATTAGAAAAAGGAGAATGTGCTTTGTGACTAGCAGTGGAGTTTTGGTATCTGTTGCCTCAAGCATGTAAAATTCCTCCATATTGTGTGTAAACTTTTGATTTTCTATTTGGCAAAAAGCTGTAGGCTAATGATGGTGAAATAATAGCCATCGAAGTTTGAAATTGAAGTTACTCACTTTGAAAGTCACTGAAGTGTCTTTGCCCTTCAAAGTATATGCTTTTATTCATTTTAAAATGCTTAATAAATGTTTATTATAGTAGTATTTATATTATGTTTGCACTTTCTAAAAGTAATACAAGAAAAACATTAGCATATCAAAGCAAGACCAAAAATTATCTAGAGTATTAAATCCCTAAAAAGGTCTCAGTAGTAGTAATGGCTCAGATATTTTTCAGAGATATCAGTATCCTTTCACATACATTGTTATGTAAACCTTTAATGTACATAAGTCTGTTCTGTTCTTCCTAAAGTAGGAGTAAGGTGCTGAAGATTAGTGATTACACATCATTTGTAGTTTTAAGAGCCACAACTATGTTCTAAGGGATGTTTCTCAGACAGAAAGATAATTATGATTTATCTACATACCCTTTACTAAATTACTATGTATTACTATGTATGTATTTATTTTTAAATAAAATATTACCATACTTAAATATTTGGTATATACAAGCTACATTCAAAAAGATGGTGAGACCAAAGTAAATCATTTGAGTAGACTTTCTTGTTAAAATTCCCTTTATTTCCCTTTAGTTATACTCCTTAGAGTCCCCCTGGATTGCTCAAAAGCAAATAAAGTTTAACTCACCACATCCTTTTTAAGTTTAGGTTAGATATTAATGTGCTATTTAAGGACCAGACAGTAAAGAGGAAGTTTAAAAGTTTTGAGTATTCTCAAAAACAATATTCTGATGCTCATGTATTATTTTGGTGATATTTCTTAATGCAGAATTTTGTCTTTAATTTCTTACCAGAGTTTTATCTTCATGTTTATAAGCCTTGTTTTATTTGGTATGTTTGTTGCAGTGGGTACACCTTATTATATGTCTCCAGAGAGAATACATGAAAATGGATACAACTTCAAATCTGACATCTGGTCTCTTGGCTGTCTACTGTATGAGGTGGGTAATGTTGATAAAGTCCATATTGATGTATTTTTACTTATTGTAATACATTTCTCCTATTCCATATAGTATACACTTATTTTAACTTTTTTATGACAAATTAATTGGCTATAGTAATGGTTTTTATAAAGGAATTTAATAACTATATATTCATACATATTTACTTTCTCTACTATATTTTTGTTTGCTTTTGATGAAAATATTATTTTAAAAATGTCTTTATGTTAATATGTTTTGTATATCTTATAAAAAAGCACATTTAAACTTCTAGAAAAATTTGCTTATCCCATGCATTGCAGGAGAGGGATATAATGGAATGAATTTAAAATATGAAAGCTTGGTAAATATTTTTATAACTACTTTTTTTTCAGTTTTATATAGAGTAATTCACCTTTAAGGACAGCATGCAAGCAGATAATTCTAGGTTATCACTTAATTTAGTTTCTATAAGGAATAATTTGTATTAGTAAAGCTCAGTGAAATTCTCTCCTGTTCCCCTGGTGATAGTTTATCAGAGAAAGTTGGAATCGTGACAGTAGATGCTCTGGAAATGCAATGCAGTAATTTGTATGGATAAAAGGAAATATGTTATAAGCACATTTACATTCATATTTAGAGTAATTGTATCAAAGAGTATCTCAAGCTAGTGACTTCTATAATTTTATTTGTTTAATTGAATGGTGATTTTCCTAGGAATAGTCTTTGAGTCCGAGCTATTAGTTAAAAATTAGTCTCTAGCTATAAAACTTTTTATAAAATAAAATGAAGGAAAATAATACATGGAATCATTTTCATAGTTTAATGTGTACAGAGAAAATTTGAAATGAGTAGATATAAACCAATGTATTTATTACCCTATATTTTGTGATTTATCTTCCTGACTTTAATAAAAATACATGGCAAGGTGATCTATTTTAATTGTTCCACCATTACTTGGAAGTGGAGCATGAGAAGGTTTTATTTTTAAAATGTATTTTGTGATTTTTAGTCATTATTTACTGATTGCACATTAAAATTTCCTTAAAGTAAGGTACCTGAGATTATTTATTTTGTTTCTCCTACTGGAGTTACTGAGCCTGCTTTAAAAGAAAGAATTAAATGTTCTTAAATAACATCCTTAGGATGATTTGATTATGAAGAAATATAATACAAAACATGTTTTAAATGTGCACATGAAATTTAAAGATTTATGCTCACTCTATTATAATATGTTAGTAATTTGATACAATCTTAACAAAAACTGTTTTGAGTGTGTTAAGCTGCTGTAATGTTTTAAGGTTACTTTGTGCATTTAAAAATATTTCATACCTGTTTGAGTAACCTTAGATTCCTTCAAGCCATAGTCTAATATTATCAAAGCAACATTTTCTCTTTAAACACTTAAAAGTAAACAGTTGGTTTCCAACAAAATTAAATTTAACAATGAAAAAGAAAAAGTTTAGTCCAGGTAATTCGTATTTTGAGAGTAGTTTACATACTTCTTTTGCATACTCTCAGGTCAAAACTAAAATAATTCTTCACATTCTGAATTTGCCTTTGAAAGGCAGTTTCTCATTTTATGTGTGCTTAAAATGACCACTCAAATGAAAATTGTTTCTTTGGACATTCCTTCCTCTATGAGTTTTATGTGTTGTGGATGATTTTGAGTTAAAGTGTTTATCTTGTTAACTTTAGTTTCCTTCTCAGTTCATTTTCTCACTTCCACCTTGCAAATACTTTGGAAAACTAGAATTTTCCTCAAAATTTAATTTACCTTCATGTTTTATTTCTTCCTAGTTATGTTTCAGTATAATGTTAATAGAGATACCCAGTAATTTAGTTTTAAAAAATTGGCCATCACATTACATAGATATTTTATGTTGTATCCCACTAAGAATTTATTAACAGTGAAGGAATAGGAAGCCTTTTTTGAAAATGTATTTTAAACACAGAAAATTAGACTTTCAAATATTCTTGAAACCTCAGGAAAAAAAAAAAAACTAGCAGAACAGTTTTAATTGATATGCAACAAAGTAGACTTTACTAATTAAAATCAAGATGCTGTGCTTTTGCTACACGGACCTTTACATGGAAAAGTAGGTTTTACACATTTCCTTTATTGTTCAGCGCAGCAATTGCATCCTTACAGGGTTGTAGGTTGGTGGCTTACAGTTCAAAAAAAAAGAGAGCTGCCACCAGCCCTGAAGACAGACAGTGGGCTTTCGTCCCTCCGACACCCCCAGAATACTAATCAGGAAAGTCAGACCCTGGAGGTCAGGGAGCAAGTCAATCATTCTAGCGATCGTCTCAGTGTGGAGGATCAAATTAGCCTGAAAAATTCAGCTGCTGGGAGGAGAGGGCGAGCAGCTGTCAGGGGCAGCATCGAGATGCACTAATGAACCAGATGAATAGTGCAAAAGCTTGAAAATAAAAACAGGACAGTTGACATTTTTCATCTGTCAAAGCAGGAAATGCATGAAAATATACTATTCCTGTTTAACTCCTTAGGGGACATTCAGATTTTTTTTTTAACACTCTGCAGTATTGAGACAAAAGTACTGTAATGAATCCTAGCATATGATAATGAATATATACATTTACTTAGGGTTTCTGCAAACATGAAGAGACTGTAGTTTATATGTGCAGTGTGTTTTTAAGGTGGCATTTTTAATACTCTGTTATTATGTTCTTGCATTTTAAACAAAGGACATGATGATTATTAGAGTTCTTTTAGAAATTCCTTCTCAGAGTTTTTTTAGGAGTATTTTGAGTTGTTTTTTACTTTGTCTTCTTCATGTGGAAGTTTTGTACAGGTTTATGTAGGTTTTATATAAAATGTGGGCTAGGTGAAAATATGTCGAACTGCTTTGTGGGTTTGATTTCCAGTCCCGTCTGCTCCACAGTCAGGCTCCGAAGGAGTTAAAGTCTGTCTGGAGCAGCAGAAGACAGATGAGAGCCATTTTCAGCTTGTCCTGTCCCCGCTGACGCTCACTGAGTAGCACAGCATGGACTAGCGTGTTTCACACACACTCTGCCTGTCTGGGGAATGTACACATTGTCCTTCCAAAATCAAACTTATTAGCACATGTAGAAAAGGGTGACTGACTTTGGGGCAGCCTCACCCTCGTGTTGTATTCTTGCTGCTGCGGTTCAAAGCTTTAGAAGGTTTCGAACAGGATGCGAACATTTTAAATTGAATTTTTAGTTTGTAACCCTGCTTACCACAGCAGTTGCTTGCACTTTAAATGTCAAGTTAGAACCTTGTCTTAAAATAAATTTAAATTCAATAATGTCTTTTTTAAAGTTGTTCATTCTTGGAGTCATTTTTTTTTCCTGCGTAAAAAACTTGTATGGATGTTTTGAAGTAGTGACTATGACTTGTAGAGCTTTTGAACATATTTAGTATTTTTGGGACATTATCCAAAGAAAAGAAGTTCTAATTCATTTTAAAGTACTTGAGCATCAGTTATATTATTCAGATTAAAAAGATTTTTTTTTCTTTCAACATAGCTTTTCCTACCAAAAACATCATGTTAGATAAAAATAATATGTATTCTGTTTCCTAATTGTTGCTAGATTATAACTCAGTTTTAACTGCAGTTTCATTTTTGTTATATTTTGGGAATTACATGGTTGATATATACTGTGGATACCTATTTAATCACAAGATAGACTAATTGTTTTTATGCCATTATATTTGCAATGAGTTTTAAGTTATTTTATGTTCTTAAGACTGTTTTAAATTATGTATGTATAAGCAAATGATTTTATGTTAACTTTCTGCCTTTTGGGGAATATTAAATGTTGAAAAAAATAACCAAAAATTGAGGTAAGATTTTTAGAACTTACTAAATAACTCTCAGAAAGAAGATATTGGTAAAAAATCAAAATGCCCCAAAACTTTATTTAAAGTATTTGTAAGTATTTCTATCCCATTATAATGTGCTTGATGAAATCACATTTAAAGTTGCCATGTACTTATATCAGTTTATTTGGGACATTTTACAGATGGCTGCATTACAGAGTCCATTCTATGGTGACAAAATGAATTTATACTCTCTATGTAAGAAGATCGAGCAGTGTGACTACCCACCACTTCCTTCAGATCACTATTCAGAGGAAGTGAGTAATTTTTCAGTCCATGCGTTCATCTCTTGTTCATTTTCCTTATGCCTGTATCTTACTAGAAATTTTCATTTATACAGATATGCAAATGATGAGGAGAGGTTACGGAAATTGTATTTTTCATTTGTGTTCATTCTCTTGGACACTTGCTGTTAAATAGTTGACTCTGCAATTCATAATATGGAGCGGAACACCAACACGGCGTGTGGTATAAAATTGGCCACTTCTAGGTGTGCAAAGAACAGTAGCTGACTTCACAGCATACTGAACACAGCTGAGGGCAGAATTAATGCTCAAACCCAGGCTCTAGTTAATCACCTTGTCTAGTTGCCCTGTTTAATAGGGTAACTCCTCATTCTCACAGTCTCGGACTAACAATTTTAAGTTTCTTTGTTGGCAGAACGTCCCTTCCTTCCATGTTTTCCAAAAAATTGAAACGTCTCTTAGCTATATACCTCTCACCTTATTCTTGCAGCTTTACCCTTCCTCCCCTGCCAATACCTGCCCCAGCACCACCACACTGGTGCAATCATTCCTATGGGGAAATGTTTTGAGGTTATCATTGCGACATGTTAGAAAGTATATTGGATGGTTTTAAAGGTTGAGGAGGCTTTATCTTACTAAGATCTGAGTCTAGCTAGTGCTTGCTTTGGTGACCCATTGAAACGGAATTATTTGAGTGCTCCCCAGCATCTGGGTTGCAGATATTTCCCATTTAGGCTAATGTATCATGATGTTAGCAATATTTTAAGGAGGATATTTGCAGAAGAGCTTTGTTTCAGGTTACTAAATGTGTCCATGTGACTCTTTTCGGAAAGCTCATTGGAGGTCTACCCAAAGGAAACACTGTCTTTAGCTAGGACATCTCACCTTCTCATGAGCAACAGATTTTGCCCAAGGAAAACAGAAAGGGGCAAAGGCAAAATATAAAACAATTATAATGTTCACTCATTAGATAGTCTTGTCACTCTATTTTGTAATAACTAGCAATGGGTATTAGTTTTATATATGGAAAATTGAATCAGTATAACTTGAATAATAAATATCTAAAGAATTTTTACCATATGTAAAGCATTTGTGGTCTTGGAATGTTAGAAGTAGCTTTTTTCCTAGTAGTTTTGATACTGATAATTACTGATGCCTGGTTTTCTGTTTCATAGCATTTGTATTTGGGTAATTAGAATAAACCTTTTAAGCAGTAGTGATCATTTAAAAGTATTATCTTTATTTGATGTTAATGCTATTATGTTAGCCATTTTTAATTACTATTTTGGGTATAGAATATAAATATAGCATTTCACAAAACCAACTTAAGAACTATAGGCCTGGAAATACAGTAGGGTGTGAACAATAATGCAAAATGATAGCAAGAATGTCAGGGGCCGTTCTTTGTTGTGTCATTCATGCTGTCTTCTTTTTTCCATGAAGCGCATGAATATTTCACATATCTGCATCCTCATCCCCTATTCTTCTTGACTAATTTTCAGACTGTCTGAATTTGCATTTCACATGGTAGCTGATTAGGAGATGCCGAGTGCAGCAGTGAAGCCTCAGCAGGCGGTTACCATGGTGACCTTCAGCAGGATTTTAATGATGATACCACTAGTGGTTCGTTGAAGTCGGCCTGCCTGCAGGGCTACTTCACTGCAGCTAAGTGTGAAGTTGGATATGCGGATTCTCAGCCAAGGGGCAAATATCAAAGTCTGGCCCAGATAGAAGGTCTTAGAGTTGGGAAAGGAAAATAGATTCCACTTTTTATTGTACTCTATATAGTTACCAGTTTCGAAAAGAGATATAAAGCAAAATATGTTATATGGTGCACTTTCCAAAAAAGACAGTGTGATTCCTCATATTGGTAGATTCTGTTGTTAAGCTATGGTAAAGTAGGAAGTTACAATATCCTGGCAAACATGGAAACTAATTCTTACTGAAGAAATGAAATATAAGAAATACAGACTAATAATGTTACTCTAATTTGTTCAGTTATTTAGGAAAGTTCTCAGAACAAGAGCTTTGAAATGCAGATGTGCTGATACATACAGTCTCTTCTTAAGAAGAAACTCAATTTGTTGGTAAAATAATTATTCAGATTTTATGGTAGAAAAATTCCAAACAGATTCGATGCTGCCATGCATTAATATTTGTTTATATATTAGATCTGTTAATAGTGCAAATTTCCCTTTAATTTTCAGCCTAGCACAAAATAGGAGACAATGAAAAAAAAGTGAAGTATAGAGTTTTTAAACAGTGAGATTTTAATTGTTAAGAGAGATTCTTGCAGTGTTATAACTGATGTGGTAACAGACTTTGTAATTGGAAAAAACAATTTAAGCAAAGGTATTTTCTATCAGATATCTATGTGGAAGTTTACCAAATTGATTTATTTGCTGCTAAATATTTAAGACTTCTGCCCAAACAGGGTTTGAATGGAACATTTCATGAGAATAATAACTATGCCTACCAGTCAGCCTCATATTGATAGGGAACCTAAGAACTATATAAGATCTATTTCCAGAAATTGTCATTCCATTTAGAACTCTGAGTTTGAAAGCTTGAAATTTTTAAAAAATGTCATTTTCTATTGATAAAACAGATATACTTAAGCAATAATGATAAGTAGCGACCTTTGGAAAAGTAAACCTGTATGTTAAATCTTTCCTTTTTTAAATATATTGACATTACAGTGTATGACTGATTAGGATTATGATTAAAATCTCAGCTGCACACGGATGATATTAGGAAATGTGCATTTTATGCTGCTAAAATATTTTTGTATTTAAATGAGCACCAGTCTTTTTTTTGGTGTTTAATATTCTTTCCATATCCAGTGTTGATCTCATTATCCATGCATCAGCAGGGAATTACTGTACTGAACAATGAAAGTCTTAGATTGAAAAGATATTTTCCCTTAGCTATCTCTTAGTTTTAATTAAACTTGGAGTTTTTGGTGATTATGAAATTAACATCAATGAAGCAAGCATTTATTGAACATTCACTGTGTACAAGGAATGATGACTCAGAAGGCCCCTCCTTAACTGATCTGAGTTTGTCAAGACTGATGGATCATGGGATACTCTCTTTTCCCTTAACTCTACCAGGGCAGAATCTACTAGAAGTCCCATGAATTCCCATGTTTTTGTGGATGCTGTTTCCTCTCCCTGTAATACCCCTTACTCTTTTCTTTACATGAATGCATTCTTCTTAAGACAAAGTTTGTACATCATTTCCTGCTCAGTTTTTCTTTGTCTCTTCCCTACCCCTAATTTTTTCTTCCTGTACCCCACTCCCTTGGCAATCACACTGCATTGTAGTTGTTTCTTTGCATGCCTGACTCCCTATCTAGTTGCTGCACCTGAAGATCAGTGACTGCTTTTTACCTGTGTAGCTCTAGGCACATTTTAAAAGGTCTAATGGTTCATTATTGATTGATCGGGGGAACTAGGGAGTAAAGGAGTGAGATAAAAAGAATAAATGAAAAAGAGAATGAATGAACCAATAAGTGACAATTGAGTGAATGTGAGAAACTTTTGCAAAGAAAATTCTACCTAGTTAGGCAGAAAATGACTCAAAAGACAACCCAGAACATCTGATAGTTGTCTTTTATAGCTATTACCTGTTGTATGAATTTTTTTTCTTTATAAGCAAGCAGCATCATTTCTGGCATATTTAGTAACTATTTACTGGGAAATAAGGCAAAAGGTTTTTCCCCCTCAATTTCAGTATTTAATTTCTTTGAGAGATACTAAAGTGGTCATCAAAAGTACATTTTCACTGTTGTTCCTAAATTATTCCATGAGACTTTAAGTTAAAAAATAGGTATGTTGACAATTATTTGGAAAATATAAAGTGTTTACTATTAAAAATTCCTAGTTTAAATAGAAAGGACACAAGAAAGACTGAATAGAATTGTGCCTCAGTGGTTGCATTTGACAGATTTTTCTTACAGGCTTGAGAGATTTGGAAGGAAGTTCTGAAAAGCTAAAAAAGTTTCCATATGAAATGAGTAGGGGGAATAAGGGTAATCATGGTTGGAGAAAATAGAGTGATATTAAAATTTTGAAAAAAATACTTTATGCAAAAAAGAAATTTAAGCACCTGTAAATCATTGGTGAGATGGTTAAGCCATATTTAATAAAGTAACTATATTATTTCAGAACTTCATGTTGATCTGAACTGACCTCTATGGTGGAGGTTTATGTATTTATCAGTAATTTAAAATTTTGTGTTGATAGACTTTTGGTAGGATACCAAGTTTATGATTATCTTCTAATTAATATTTCTGAAAACCTGCCAACTCACTAGGTCTTATTACTACTTTCTATAGGTGAAGAAACCAAAGCAAACTTTGGAATTGGAATTACTAAATCAGTAATCAGTTTTCACATTATTTAATGTCTCTCTTGGTCTACATTAAATTTCTGTTTGTTTTGTGCCTTTATACTTCCAACCCACTGATAAGAAAAGTTATGTTTTTATTAAAAATTAATTAATGGGACCATTTTTCAAGTGTATAATATCTTTAAAAATGTTAGTCTACAAGGTCACTTCCAAGCAAAGAACTAATGAAGAACGAATGAAATCTCATAAACTTCCACCTCATAAATGGTAATAAACCTTTTTTTACTTTAACCTCCCTTCCATTACTTTTATCTTTCTTTCTTAGTTAAGAAGTTGCCACAATGCCCCCTCCTTATTTGACCTACAGAGATGGGAAGCTGGATGGGGAGGGTTTTATCCTTCTTTTGTACCCTTCCAGTAGTTTATTGGTGCATCTTAGACATTCTTCCCTGCTGGTTCAATCAGATGCATAAGAATTTCCAGCATCATTTTTGTTATTCTTGAGACAAGAAAAATATTGGTTTTTTAAAAGTATTTAAAATATAAGAATTTAAAAGCATATTCTTTCTATGCTTGATTATAGAATAAACAAAATAATAATAAATTTTGAATTGATCTAAGTGATTTCAGATATTTCTAGGTCATTGTACAATATAAAT